CCACTCCCTGCCACGGCAAGGGCTGACAGCAGCCCATCCACACCAGACAGTGCCGTGGCATCAAATGCAGTTTCCCGGCGGTCCAGGGGACATGGTGCAGCCATCCTGCCCTGGCACTTCCCGGGAAGAGGGAGGAGGATGGGTGAACAGGAACAAGAGCAGCTGAAGGGCTTCACTCAATGCATGGGTCCAATGGAGAGGTTCCTACAGACACCAAAGAGCAAGGGATCAAGCCCTCATCAAGTGATACGGCATAACTAGAGCAGACATGATGACAGACACTGGTACTGGTAACTGCTCTGTAGCAAGAGTTTAAGGCTGCAAAAGGAGTAACAGGCTTCAATTCAACAGGGTACTTGGGCATGAATTTTAGCAGATGCCTAAATACCGTGCGGAAGCAGGACGAAGACGACCACCTTGGATACGGTATAGTACAAGAGCTGGTAGGAAAATAGCATCAATCTTTCTCCATGAAAATGTAAAGCCAGACCTGCGAGGTGCCATCTCTCTTGGGTACTTCTAAGGCATTGAGGACGAAAGCAGCCAAGCGCGAGAGAGAGATGACCTTTGTGAGAGGTGCTCGGCACCGTCGGAAAGGTTTCCCGAGCTGGCCCGTGCGCGGTGCACACATTGCAAACAGCTTTTCAGTGGGATACACTCAGGTTTTCTACTTGTAGAAGCATGGTAGGGGCGGGCAGTGGGAGGGGATGCCAGAGTGAAGCTTACGGGTCCTTTTGCCAAATCCTCGCTCCTACCCTGAAGCCCTCGTGGAGGCCAAACTTCCCTTGGCTTGCCCAGGGTGCTCCGGGTTAAAATCTGCAGAATCAGATGCTCTTCTCCACTGGGAAAAGGACTGTAGTTTGTGACTCTTCGAGACAGGAGCTGCAGGTGGGAAACTTGCAGCCATGGCCGGAGCCTCTCCATCGAGCCCTTGAGCCCCAGGAGCGACTGGGACAGGCATGAGTCCAGGCACCCTCTGCACCTGGCAGCTCCTTGCCCACGAAGGGTGCCAGGCAGGCTCTGCGCTGTGTTTCGGGGGGCTCAGCCTCATCCAGTGAACCAGTGTATTAATGGTTCTCAGCATCGCCGGTTGGAAATCCTGCCTCGTGCCCCCGTCGATGTTAAATCATCCCCCAGGATGCCAGCAGCAGCCCCTGGTACTGGGGGTTGGTCTGGGCTGCGCCAGGGGAGCCCTGGGGATGGATCCAGCTGCAGCCTTAGGCAGCCAGGAGGAGCATGGGTGTTGCTCTCTGATGGGGTGCTTCCTTGGTTATTATTTACTCAAAAAGATGTTCCTCCATTGCAGTGTTTTAAATTACGCATGTTGGTGAAGGGCTCCAGAACTAGACCTGCTGCTAATCGCTGACTCAGCAGTGCAGCTGCTGTCTGTGCTGGGGGAGACGGTGGCTGTGACCAAACCCCATCACCGCTGACGGTGCTGCGGGGACGCTGGCGGCAGGGAACCTGATGGCACTGCTGGGGTCATGGCCATGCTGTGGCCAAACCAAAGGGGTTAACTATGAGAAACATCCGCCTGCTGACCACCTCTGCTCTGCGAGCCACCAGCTCCCTTTGGTTTCAGACTGAAATACGGACACTTATAGAACGAGCAGCATTTCAGTGTTTTTTCATCTAGCATCCACCAAGCCAGGATCAGAAACAGAGAAGATGGTACAAGCTGGAGATGGCAGCAGGGAGGGAGATTTCAGCAGCCGAGTCCTCTCCGCTTGCCGTCTGTGGCCCAGCCCTGCCAAGATGTGGCTGACCTATGGACGTTGCTATTTTGCCAGGGCATGGACACGTCCCTGAAGCACTGAGGCCCACCACAGTGAGAGGATTACAATGCAGTCATTTTTGTAAAAGACACAACGTGGTGAAAACAGCGCCCAGCCTCAGACCGGTGATGCTCAGAGAAACGGTGTGTGGTCCTTGTTGACCATTTACACAAGGTGGGTTGAGCCAAGAGTGGTTCACAGCCCTTGCTGTGACCAGAAGTGGGACCAGGCTCCCAACCACAGATTTGAGATGTTCAGCCATGCTGGGATTTCAAGGTTTGATTGAGACACGGACTAATTTTGAATCACAGTATTTGGGACGCTTGGATTCAGGGTGCGGGGATGGACACGGGGGTAGCACTGCTGTGTGCACTAAGTGCCTTTGCACCAGAACAGGCCATGGAAATACTGTGTGATGGGACCAACATCCCTGGACCCATCTCTGAGCTACTCCCTTGAAAGAGGTTTGTCCATCCCCATTTTGTACCTACCTGCCCATCTGTCCCTCTGGCTCAGCTTCTTAGGTTACTTCTAAGGTGGTTCAAAATGAAAAAAGACACATGCTAAGAAAGTGCCAAGAATGTAAGAGTGGCATCTCACCACTGCGGCTGTTGGGTGGACATTCCCTGGGGACAACTTGTCTCATTCCCCTCATGCGGCTCCTTCCACCAGTTTGGCACATCTCCTACTCCACCACCTCCGCTGGTGTGGCTGGTGCCAGGAGATCAACCGGTGCCGGGGCATCGGCTGGCATTCACCAGAGTGGGACCTGACCAGCGGAGCTGGGACAGACCACGGGTGTGTTTGGTTCGTGGTCAACCGCAATCGCAGACCATGTCCCGAGGACCAGAGGTGAGCAGGGTGGTGGTGGAGGACCCGGGGAGGATGGGACAGGACAGGGAAGCTGCGGGGACCCTTCCTCATCGGCTGGGCGGCATGGCGCCCCGCTGCCCGCCCCGCTACTCAGGCGAGTAGTCCAACTCGTCATTGGCAATGAGAGCCTCCGATGGCGGTTTGTGCCTGCCTTTGCTTTTCGACCTACTACTCGTCCGATGGGTTTCCTTTGCTCCTGCCATTTGCTGGTATGAGAAGCCCTTGTCCTCGGAGGGACCCCAGCCCGGGTAGCCCTCACCCTCGGTGGCACAGGAGAAGCCATCATCCACGGAGAAGGGGTCGACGTCCACGTCGTAGCGCTGGTAGGTGCTCTGGTGGAGGGCCTCCTCGCGGGCACTGATCTCCAGCGTGCTGTTCCACATCCCGTAGCCAAAGTAGATGAGCAGACCTGCGGTGAGTGAGAGGGTGAGGGTTGGACCCCGGCTGCCCGCACCGGCCCCATGAACCTGGATAAAACATTGCTATAAACACACCATGCCCCGAAACAGCATCTGCCCCCCAAAATCCACGTCAGGGGTGGGTGGGGGATCCAGCCCGGCTCACCACCAGCATCCTCCCGTCCAGCGCCGGGCTGGCACCAGCTGGTGAGGGTTAAATGTATCTAAATACACCTATATTTTTTAAGCCAGTGTATTTTGTAGTTGATGTCTTCTCTTCAAACCCATTGAGTTTGTGTGCTTGGGCTGCCAGCTGTGACCTGAGGGCTCTATGTTTTAAACAACAGCTGGGATCGCTGCTGGCCACGTGATTGTGCCATCTGCACAATCGGTGGGACAGCAGCTCCCAGCAGACGTGTGGAGGCTCCCAAGAGCTGACAACCCGCTTCTGCACCCTGTTACCCTCCCAGATATCTTTTTTTTTTCTCTGGAGTTTTCTTATGCTCTCAGTCTCTCTCCTGCTGGTGCTCACAGCCACTTGTGCCCCAGGGTTGCCAGGATGAGTGTGTTTGGTATTAAAACAGCTCTGAAATCCTGTCTTCCTCCCTTTAGGGGTTTTATTTCATCTTCTCCCTCTAGCCCTACCTGATCTCACCTTCCTGCACCAATGCCTTCCCCAGAAGAAAATGTATCTGGAGATCTAATTTCCAGTGGATCCTGGGTTTAAACTACCCCAGACATGTGCATAGAGAAACCCAGACTCCTCCACATACCATGGACTGGCCAAGGGGCACTGCTTGTGAGGTTAAATCCGGAGTCTCTGTGGCAGGACCACATATCTCTACCAGAAAAACAAATGGGATGTGCCTCTCCCAACAGGTGAGCAGCTGTGGATGGGGCTGGTGGAGTCCACCACACCTTAATGGAGTGGCTTAATTGACTTGTTGCCATAGATAGCAGCTGAAGAGGTATTAAATGTACCCACAGGGGAAAGTATTTAATCACAGTGGATTAAATTGATGCTTTGGAGTCACTTTGCTTCCAGGTCCTGGGGCTGCAGCTTCACCTATTGTCTTTGAGGGCCAAAAAAGCACTAAGCATATTTTTTCCAGCCCAAAGGGTGCACGTGACAGGTACTGTCCAACGGCTTGATTTGGGGTTATGGGACTCTCAGAGATGGAGCTTTGCTATGAAACCTCAGTCTTGCAGGACTGAGTCAGGATAGCTGCTGTCCTCACCATGAAGCAAAAGTGGGAATAGCAAAATGAAGGAAAAAAAGGTGGTAGCAACCTCCCACTGAAGGATGGGAACTGTGAGACTACTCTAAATTTTTTGAGATGCCAAAGGGAGATCCAAGGTCTGTTTATGTTATCTCATAGTTCTGCCAACTGATTCAAACATCTACAAACATCAGGAGGTACCTGAGAACAGCACGAAGGCTGGTGAGCCCATTGTGGTGACCTGTGCCTTCCCACCCCTCCTCTAGAAGTGATTCCTGACCACGGGAGGTGGCAGCTGACTACAACCTTTGCATCAATCCTCATTCTCTTTCCCCACCGCTTTCTCTCTCTCAACCCAGGACCCTGACCCCTGCTCCCAAAGGAGAGGGCTGCTGGTGGGATGTTTGGCCAGGAATGATCCCTTGGGGTGCTGGCACCATACTCAGAGTCTGTTTTCTGCAACTGGGGCTCCTGTGGGCTGCTGCAATATATAAGTTTACCCATAGTGTTATTATTTCTCTGTAAAGAGTCCTTGACTTTGATATTGTCTTGTCACTTCAATTCTCTATAGTCCAAATTTGGGAGCCTTCAGGAGGAGCTATGAGAGCTGCTTTTTTTCTCCTGGGTTTGTGGAGTTGTGGGTTGCAATGTCAAGCAAGAGAAACTATGGACATGCCAGGGTCCTGTCTATTTGCCAGGAAGGCTAAATTTGTCAAAAAAAAGGTCCACAACAGAACCTGTGAGTCCCGAGATCCACCTGCCACAAAGTTAAGGACCAAGAAAAGGAGGCACAGTCCACAGATCCCTTGGCTCTGCCTCTCCCAGGTCTGTTGGGGCTGGGCAGCTCTCGGCTTTGGAAATGCAGTGCTCAGATTTTGGTGTGGGCTGTTGATGAGCTCAAGTGGGTGAAAAATCAAAAAAGCAGGCAGATTTCTGTAGGAAACCTGCCTGCAAGGCAATTTACAGAACCCACCTACTTTGCATCAAAAGACTCATCAAAATAGTCACCTTTGCATGGAGCAGTTTACTTCCATCAAACTGACATTTTCTGGAGGTGTAATTTTCCATTTAGCTGTGGCTCAGGGGTTTGACTAACCGAGGTTTCTAAGAACTTCAGGATGACAAGGGGCAAATGCAAAGGACTGGGCATGTCCCAGCTGAAGAAGCATCAGCCTAAGCACTCTAATTAGGGAAGTTATTATTAACATGCTTTCAAAAGAGTGTCAGTTAAAAAATTAAAATAAATGAATCTGGAACTCACCCACAAAACACCAGACGGCAAATCGGATCCATGTGACTGTGGAGAGCTTCAGCATGAGATAGATATTCACCAGCATAGCAAAGGCAGGGACGAAGGGCAGACAAGGTGCCATGTAGGGCAGCTTCTTGGGGTTTTCTGGCTGCTGCAAGATCACAAACACCAGCACAAGGATGAGCAGGATCATCAGCACGACGAGGAGAACAGCCCACCAGCTCTGCTCGTAGATGTAGTCTGCCCCAAAAATGATGAAGGAGCAGAAGATGAACATCAGGACAAAGAGCAGGAGCACGCAGGTGGTGACCGTGTGGCCGGTGGCTGCCGTGGGACGGTCCATTTTCCCCGGCAATCCCAGGTGGATCCGCATGGTGTAGTAGCGAGGGCCGATCAACTTCTTCAGCTTGATGAGGTAGATGTTCTCAGATTCATCTGCCTCTATCCCTGAGGTCATGTCAACCGTGCCATAATTGGGGTGATTCACGTTGTAAGTCGATTTATCAGATTTCCCAATTAGCATCTCGTTATCCCCCAGCGATGGCAGATTTTTCGCCCCACATGTGTTGGTCGGTGGGCCAGCAAACTCTTCTCCTTCACTCCCTGGGGAGCAAGCTTCCTTCTCGCAGTCGGCCAGGATGCCCTCCTTCTTCTTGGTGTGCTCCTCAGAGAGGAATTTGACAAAACCATCGATGTCACTCTCGGGCTGGTATCGGAGGAGCAGGACACAGACGGAGACCAGTGTGTAGGCGAGCAGCGTGCCAATGGACATCATTTCTATCAGGTCCCGCAGGCTGACCAGCAAGGAAAGCAATGCTGCGAGGAATCCAGAGACGATGCAAGCCACTATGGGAGTCTCCGTGTAGGAACTGATGTGGGACAAAAATCTGGAGTGTGAAACAGTTGCAGAAAGTTAAAACTGCAGATCGCAGCAGTTCCCTGTTGCAATAACCCTTACCCGGCTGGAGGGACCAGCCTCAGAGCTGTGAACCCTTCAGCTCTTCCCGCTTTTTGGACCTTAGACTCCAGACAGCCAGAGATTGGAAATACTGCTGAGGCTGGATCTGGAGTTAGATCTAGGCTGAACCAGCTCTGTGCAATCTGAAATGGGCACTGGGATACTTGGAAATAAGTGCCAAAATTTTACACATATAAACTGCTCTTCTTTGCAAGTAACTCTTGAATTAAATGCTCACCCTCCCGTAAACTGAATCTCTAGGTACCAGCACCAAATGAGAAACTTTTGCATAGATCTGTCCTGATTTTTTTTCCCCAGGATTTTTCTTCGGTGTGAGCTCTGTTCTGCGAGCACTGAGTCTCTGTGTGCCCGCTGCTCCCTGCCGTGATGGCACCGGGCTGTCTGGGTGCAGGACAGCCCCTGTGCCCCCCCCAGCACCTTCCCCCTCTGGGTCCCAAGGGGGAAAAAATAAATGCCATCATGACTGACCTGAAGAGCAGCCCATCACCAGCCATGGCATAAATGACTCTCGGCATTGGGAAGAGGGAGCCCAGCAAGCTGACGGTCAGGCCGGCCACAGACCCGATGGCAACGATGAACTTGGCTGCGTAGAAGCCATGGGCCACAAACATTTCCATCAGTGGGGACTCGGTGTCGATGGCGTCGTACGGCACCATCAGTGTGAGGATGATGCTCACCTGGGGAAGGTGAGAGGAGCAGGACACGGGTGTCAGCAGCAGCTTTGGGGGCTGCTGGGGACTCGCAGGGTGCAGAGGATGTTTCTCAAGGGTGGAAAGCCAACAAATTTCAAGTCTGAATGGGATTGTATCCATATGTCTCCTGTGGAGGGGGTGTAAAATGCCGGAGGTAAGGCCTGTACACGCTTTGCTGTGGGGTGGTTAACCCAGCGGACTGCTGTCCCTGTGCGGGGCAGCACTGCCGGAGCCATGCACTCCCCATGGGACAGGGCAAAACCCAAAATGGCATCACATGGGCGAACACTCTGATATCCTTTGAACCAAAGAGAAATTTGTTTTGAGGGAAGCCCACCATGCTGCAGGAGAGGCAGAGTGTGAGTTTCCTTGAAATGATCAGAACAATATTTTTTCTCTTTTGTGACTCAATTTTGCTCTTTTACAGAGAAAATCCCTGCGTACAGACATGCATTTATTGGGGTGCAGAGCAGCTGGACATTGCTGCTGCCACATCCCTTGCATGGCCATCCCTGCCCATCCTCCCCCTTCACTTGGACCCTCTCCCACATTTCCGGCAGAGGCAGCGCTGCTTTTACCAAAAACATGGAGAAAGGCTGCTGCAATGCTTCTGCTCCTTCAGCTTTGCTGCACTTCTGGATGCAAAAATAGCTGTGGATGGGGATCAGGCATGGGGAAAATAACAGCTGCCACCATGTCCCTGCAGCCCGCAGAGGGATCTCAGCAGGGTGACAGGAGCCTGGGGACAAACCGGGCTGGGGCCGAGGGGAGCCTGGGCAGGACACTGCAGTCACATGGAAGCACAGCTGATGTCTCGGTTCCCACCAAAGAAAGGGCCCTTGTCCAAGGGTCAGACTGGCACCCCGGCTCTTGGGGAGGGAAGCTGCGCAGATGCCCAGAAGGAGCACGCTATATATATCTATATATATATTTTTGTGTGTGTGTTTGCATGTGTGTATATATATATGCATACATATATATTTACGTATAGCTAGTACTTACGGACACGTATGCTGTCAAGCACGTGACAAGTGAGGCCGTGATGGCGTAGGGGATGGAGGTGTTGGGACTCTTCGCTTCTTCTCCTGTGGTAGCGATGATGTCGAAGCCGATGAAGGCATAGAAACACGTCGCGGCCCCTTTGAGCACCTGTGTGGAGGATCGAGCATCTGAGTGCCAGGAGGGAGGCTGGCACACAACCAGGGAGAGGGAACTGAGCAGAAATGCAGGAGCCCAATTCTGCCTTGTCTGAGCTAAAGGGTGAGTGTGGCAGATGGGAGGTTGTGCACACGTCGAGTTGGGTGTTTCTATCTGGGACTGACTCTGGGAACACCCATAACCCAGTGATCTGGTCTAGGGAAAAGATTTCAACGTGCAGCCCGAGGCACTGGAGGCATGTGCAGCTCACTCGTGGTGCACCACAAACCTGTGCCCATGCACTGCCCGAATCTGCTGCGAGATCCTGGCAGCGACAGAGGAGACAATTAACCAATTTCAGGTTTGCTTTCACAATGCTCCACCCCAAATCCGTTTATATTAGTAGAGTTTTGGAGCATGTTTACACATTCCATCTTAGCAAGATGTCTCATGTGGCAGCAAGATCCGCTAGCAGAGGAAGCAGAAGAGAGCAGCAGCAGTCAGATATACACCGCTTTCCAAACAACCTCTGTTTTGCTTGGAAGCTGCAGACAGGTTAGGACTACATGTTGGAGCACTTGGATGAGGAATTATTTGTACTGTTTAGTTATTTTTTTAATGTGACTTTTTAAAGTACAGTATTAGCAAGGACATTTATAAGGAAGAAATGCTGAAGCAGGCTAAAGACTGTGCGGCTGTAAGGAGCGAGCAGATTTGCAGTTGTGAAGCTCTTGCATGAATCTAGGTGGCTAGCTGGGTACTGCGTGTCCATCACATCTCTGTCATTTTAGCTGTCTGGTAATGGAGCAGACAGTAAAAGTCACCTATTTCAGTGGAACTACCTGTAATTACCTTTTTAAAGTATCCCCTATGCTCCTGGGATCTCATGCTTGTGCTATGGTAGATTTACTTTTACGAACAATTTGGGAGACAACCAACCAGCTGAAAATGGTGGGAAGACCCTATTGATTTTGATGTGCTTTGAATATGTGTCTTTTAAAACTACGTATTTTTGCTAGGAGACATTTGGTGGGTTGAATTAGAGGAAAACAGCAATTTTCTATTATTTTCTCTTTTTCATTCCTATTGTATGGCATAAAAAGCCAAGCACAATTCAAAGGTAGATAGGACCTCTGCTCTCAGATGGGCCGTGGTGCTCTTCTCCTCACTGTTGTTCTCTGGCAGAGAGGTATTGATTTACTGAAGGGTGGTGCAGGGACTGTATGGCAGCTTGGGACCCTTTCAGTAATCAAGACTCTTGGTTTACTTTACTTTCTTGCTTATTTTTCTGCGCAAAACCCTGATGGAGTCGAGCAGTGTAAATCTGAGAAATTATCTTGGGTTTAGGCCAGCCGAGATATTTTCAGTCTCTGTTCATCCTTGGATAAAAACCAGTGCAAGCAAGCTAAAAAAGCCAAATATGTCCAAATTCTCAGTAAGCTTTGAGGGAACATCCATAAAATAAGTACTGGCAGGTGGCATTATGAAGTGCTCAAAACAAATGCTTGAGAACATTGTTGTTGAAAATCAGCCAACACAAGTATCTCCCCCTCCGCAGAGGCTGAGCTAGCTCCTCCTGAGCTCCCTGTCTCAGATGGCCACTGCATTTTGCTCCACTGCCTGGCAATTACTGACATTTCCTGGTCTATACCTTCACGTGGAGTTTGGCTCTCCAGGAGGACATTTTGGAAAAGTTCTGACTTTATTCTAAGAGCTGGCAGGAGATACGTGCAAAGCATTGCCGTACCCTTTGGGTTTGGCGGAGCGAGGAGGTCTGGATCCAAGCCTGCAGTGGTGGAAGTTGGAGGTCCCTGGCCAAAGCACAGATGGGTTTGGCAGGGTTGAGATTTGGAGAGCACAGTGGAAGTAGGGTGCGTGTATGGTGAGCAAAGCTGAGTGTGTGGCAGGAGGGTGACATTGCTTAGGTGCTGCATGTCTCTCCGTGCGCCCCAGGACTTACCCCTGGCCATCCAAATGGCAGGAATTGCCCTTCAGACCAGTTGTCACTTTTGACGTAGAAGAGACCAGCAATCATGATGAAGATCCAGACTGCCAGGTTAATGACGTTGAGCACATTGTTCAGCCCCACCGAGTTCTTCACCCCCATGGCCACGATGATGGTGACAATGACAGCAATGACAAGAGCAAGAAGGTCAGGGTATGACTCCTCTCCTTTCCCTGGGTAAGAGAAAAGAGGTGTGTGACTCTCCATCCATAGCTGTGGGCAGCATCTCCAGAAACTCTGTGGGAGCTTTTAAAAATGCTTTTCAGACCCTGAGGCTTTGCAGAACTCATGGATCTCATCGCAAAGGTGGTCTCCCGATGCCCCTGCCTCCGCTAGCTAAAGCTGTTTTATTAAGGTGATAAATCCTGATGCCTCAAGACACTGTTAGGAGTTTTTGGAGGGCAGCAAACAAATGATCAGGTCCCAGTTTGCATAACATGTGTCTGCCCAGTACTAATTAAAAATCAATCAGACATTAAGTTTTCATGACACAGGTACAGGACAGCTGGCTGTTTTACCTCCTGGTAGGAACCATGGACTGTTGCTGGAACTGCTGGTGACACAGGACCATCACAGCCCTGAGTTTCTACATGTAATCTCTAACAAGTCTCTGCGTGTGCTTTAACGGGACCGAGCAGAGCGCCTGCGCTGGGTGAAGTGCTCCTGCACTGTCGTTAGCCTCTGACTTTCAACTAATTTTTCTGGGTGCTTACGCTGCTAAATGCCAGCTCATCCCAAAGGGGCTCAAAGTATCATGTATCCCATCCCCCCGAATCCCGCCTAGGAACCAGACTGCAAAGGCAAAGTACCCGAGGCAGACGGATGGTAAATAATGAATGAAGCCCAATATCCATGTCTGGCTTCTGATGAGTTTCCAATTACTCCTCAGGCCCTAATTAATGCAGATAGCTACGCACAGCGTGACGCACCTAGTCCGTTCAACGTGCCGACGCTGTTGATCATCCAGCGGCTGATGGTGTGGTTGGCCAGCGAGTCGAACATGCTGCTGAGGGCGCTGGCGCCCGCGGCCGTGCCGATCAGGTACTCCAGGATGAGGTTCCAGCCGATGAAGAATGCCACAAACTCCCCCACCGTCACGTAGCTGTAGGTGTAGGCAGAGCCCGTGGTCTTGGGCACCCGCACGCCAAACTCAGCGTAGCAAACGCCTGTTTAGAAAAATATGAAGCAATATAAAATAAAAATGTGCTTGGAAAAGGAAAAAGTGAAACTGCCTTGGTCCCACCTGGCTGGAGGTGCCAGGAAACACCCAGGGCTGTAGTCAGCATCAGGAGGAGCCCAGAGCCATCACAGGGGACCACGGTGAGCCTCCCTCCCCAGCCACTTGGCTTAAAAAGCAGCCAATTTCCCCATTAAAATCAAGCTGCGATGGAATTTTTTTTTTGAGGATACACAGTTCAAGCTACCCAAATCTTTACAGCCTGTTGTAGAAAAGCCTTCTCACAGGTGTGTGCCCCTGATGTGGGACTCCAGCATGGCCATCTGCAGCCCCCACAGACACACAACCAAAGCAGGGCGGGGAAATCCAGGCACAGGGAGCAGAACTGGGCAGCGCTGGTGGTGTGGTCCTTGGAGCACTGTTTCCCTGCAGTAGCTTTGATGGTGATAGATACCTCTTCTTCCCCATCCAACAGTGACACCGTAACATGATTTTTGCCAAGAATATTTCTCTCAAATGTTTTATTTGTGGTATCAATATACTGACAAGCTCCCAGTGCTTTTGGCTGCAGAACACATCATAGCCCTGGGAAAGGTGGTCGCAGTGAGACCTGCACAGGACAGTGTTTGGGCACCAGGAGTTCAGGGATGGTTATAGCCATTGCATGGGATCCTGGACCAGTGTTGCCCAGCCTCTCCTACAGCAAGATGCCACAGGAGGGCTCCTACAAGGCTACAGCTCTCCCTGCCCCGACTGAGCAACCTCCAAACGCTTATCTTGGGTTATTGCCATGCAGATCCAGGCACGAGCACTGTCCTCATCATCCCTGCTCTCACTTGGACCCTTGCAAGAGGAGTTTCAAGCCATCTTACACAGAGAACATAAATTATTTTAACACTTAAAAATGTTACATGTAAGTCTCATTCTGAGGAATAATTGCAGGACTAACTTTGTAGAAGAAGAAAAGAAAAGCAAAAAGAAGTATTTAACTGGCACTGTTTGGGAGATTTCCAAACTCCTTGTGTACTTACTATGTCAGGATACTTTTCAATAAAAACCTGACCCTGACACATTGCTGTCTTAAAACAACCATTAGCTTTTATTTAAAAGGAGTGGATGGACTTAGCCATAAATTCCCCAAATATTAGTCAGACCAAGTGCTGGAAGGCCACACTGCTTCCCGCATGTTTAACGCTGATGAAGCCCCTGCCCCACAGACCCCAGTTCAGCTCGTACAGGTTAACGGGTTAGGGCTGTTATTATCGATGTGCAAACGTGTAGTAATTATTGAGTTCTTTATCAACTGCTTTTCTCTATTTAGAAGATACTAATTCCTTCAGAATTGCAATCAGTTCAGTATAGAGGAATGAATACTTTATAAAAATCTTATGAGGTCACTGCTTTCACTGCAAGTGCAGTGTTTACACAGTACAAACACAGACTTATTGAATCCCTAAGCTGAATTTGGTGGTGCTTCTTTTCTCGGTATTGGAGGATTTTTCTATTCCATTCACTGTTTAACTTGCGTGCGTGATGCTGACAGTGCTTTTCAATGGGACTTTTCAAAACTTGATTTCTGTACAGCAGGCCCAACTGCAGGAGCAGCAAGGCATCCCCATCATCCAGCCCTACAGACAGTCATTATTCAAAGCTGATGAAAAATGCATGCACTCGGCAAAGGTAAGACATTCACAGATAACTACAGGCCTGAATGATTTATGAAACAGGTGCTCTGATAGGAACAAGTATCTAGTTTCTCTCTTTGATGGCCTTAAAAATCATATAATCTTTCTTGGAGGCAGCTCTACTTTTAGTCTATGACAAGAGAAGGTTTAAAGAGGATTGTTACTGATACAGAATGATAATGGCAAAGCAAAGAAATCAGTATGTATAAAATGTTTGAGTTTTCAATTACCCTACTAGGATCCCAAAATAGACGAGTAATCTTTCACTACGCATTGCATACAGCAACACGTTGTGGATATTTGCATTAGGTATCAGCATATATTAAGAAAATATACTATTTTTTATCACAGCATGCAGTGTGCAGTCTGGGGGACATGAGATGCAAGATCTGCCATCCATCCCTGATTGCCACAGGCTGTATCGGACGGCATTAATCAAATCACTTTGTTTTGTGGTGCTGCAGGTCCTTCAACAGAAACGGGGTTCACAGCACTTCCCTCTCTGCTTAAAAAGGAAGATAATATCATAATTTATTAGGGTGCATATTTTGTCTGGGTGCAAATAATATCATAGTTTATTAGGGTGCTGACTTTATCTCACTACTCTCTGCTGCATCAGCAGTGTATTATTATTATTATTATTAATTATTATTATTAATCTGCATAATAAAACTGCGTAACTCAAGTTACTCCTCAGCAGCCCCAGCGATTCGGCACCTCATCCCCGGGACCTGGAGAGATGCAGCTCTCCCAGTGCCGCTGCACAGCCAGCCCAGCTCCGGGAGTGCAGGCAGAGGCTAGGCACACTCTTCCCACCTCGGTTCTTTGAATTTGGAGACAGATTTCTTTTTTCCTCCCCAATCAAGAGTGACTGCAAGCTTCTGCTGAAAACAAACCAACACAGTGGTTGTTTGGAAGAGTAGTCTTTTAACAGAAGACCATTTCCTTGAATATCAGCTACACTGTGTAATTGGTGTGACAGCCATTCTGCTGATATAATTATACGCTTATTGACTTATTCAGAAGGACATAAACACAGCTGAGCAGTTTGGTCCATGACACTGTCCCTTCCAAGATCGCATCTACAAAATGCCGTTTTTCAGATTTAATTGACCTCTCCATTCTCTGATTTATCTTGTTTGGGGGTAGGAGGTGAGACAGCCAGCAGCTTTCCGTACAGCACTGTTATCGGGTTAGATATTTTTGTGTTAGTGGTGGCTTGGGGGCGCACTGGGCATCCTGACCTGTCTGGTGGGGACTTTTGCCGGTGAGCGGTGCCTCGGTGGGGCAGGAGGAGGGACCACAAAGTCCCCACTGGCTTCAGCCTCCAACTCCAGCACTGTAACAGCTGCTGGGCAGCACAAGGGTGGTACAAGGGGCTGGTGCAAGAACCACAGTTCAGTGCATGCTCTTGGCTGCTGCCATGCTTTCAGTGGGCTGGGGTGGTGGTGGTGGTCATGGTGTGGATGCTCACCTGGCATGAGGACACCTGTGAGGCCTACAGGAGGGACTGTTTATCAGGGAGTGTAGTGATAGGACAAGGGGTAATGGGTTTAAACTACAAGAGGGTTGATTTAAATTAGATGTTAGGAAGAAATTCTTTACTGTTAGAATGCTGAGGCACTGGCACAGGTTGCCCAGAGAAGCTGT